TTAGGCGTTTCCCGATAATATTCCATTAGCACCTCATGAAGGACTCGATCTCTAGGTAATACTGGATCGATAATTTTAGATCATTCATGACTTGGACTTACGACAACAGAATGAATTTTTACAAAAATACAACAACACTATCGTACCGTGAGAGGTGTCTGGCCGTCTTTGTTCTTGATGTAAATGTTTGCTCCCCGACTGACTAACAACCTAGCACAATTTTGACATCAATAGGTTGGTACTCCTTACTAACAAGATACTGATCATGAGAGCTTAAACTATACTTGATCTGTCGCTTTTATTCTTAACTCAGAGCCGATTCACTTCAGTAAACAAAAGATTTCATCAGTGTCACAATGGCACTAGTTTTCTGGATTGTATAGGCATATCAAAAAATATCGTACTCACTGCACACAGTTGTAGCAATCTTCTCTCGCAGCAATATGTCTGAAACGAAACCACCAAGGCACGACATTATCAATTCAACTGTGATGTTTTTACCCAAAAAAATGTTAATCATACTAAACTTACTAAAGTTTCAAGTGCAGTTTTTCGCTGTAACCTCGAAATGCCAAGGAAAAGAGAAACACTACGACTGGGGTCTTTAAGAAAAATTAAGGTAACTGACAAGAAAAAGCTCTTCGAGCAAAATGGCTTTAAGTTGGTGTTAGCGGTGGATCGTTCTTTTCATCTCAATATACACTTGCAGTTGCTTACAACTCATAGCTTATCACACCAGCTTTGGAACATTAATAAGGTGCACAAAGTAGCTGTTTACCCAAAGTACAATAACTACACTCATTACTTACAGAGATGTCTCCTTGAATATATTCAAACTGTTTATATCGGCATGAGCCTCTAAAAGAAGTCTGCACACTTCGAGATTTCCGGACAACGCTGCCCAATGAAGGGGAGTGTTAAGCTCCTAAGGGAAATGATACGATGTCTTGGTCATATAAAGGGGACGTTGATCTCAAAGTTGGCAAGGGAGAACTTTGCAAATTAAAGAACCAAAAGTAAACATTGGTGGAATCGGGAAAAAAAAAGAAGAAATTCACTGAAGAAATTTAACCCTTTAACCCGAGAGTGATAAGCATCAAATTTCTTTCAACAGTACCAGCCTTGAATCAAACATTAAGGTCATGAGAATAAAGGAAATGATCACAAACTCAAAAAGCTCTTGATTGTTGGACAAATTCTCCTACTCAGTACCATAGGAAATGTATATAGAACAGTATGGAGAACTTTCAGACTGATATTAAAGTGTAAAGAGTTAACGAATCTTTTCAACAGATGGTCATCCCTTAAGGAATAATCAACCGTCCTTTTAACACGATAAGCAGTAGCTGTTTTATGAAGTGCATTGCCAAATTAAATAAACATGTACATAAATGACGACCCGCGCTAGACGATTTTTTCTAAATGAAATAGCAAAACAAAATAAAGAAAAAAAAAAGCGTTAAGATTCTTAATGACCTCACTGTGCCTCCGAAGTATCGATATGCGACTCTAGCGACAAGTTATCTATAAATCTTAAAAGGAATTCAAGGTTTTTGAGGTTTTCTTACTTCATCTCTAATGTGGACATTAGCGCCCTGTTCAATCAAAAGCTGAGTAGCATCACGATGTTTGTCTTCAGCTGCCCACATAATAGGAGTCCATCCTCCGTCATCCTGTTGAGTGTGGCATGGAAACAAGTCTATTAACCACCGGCCTCTGCCAATATGAGCTTAATCAGTTGGTCCAGTAGTAAGTTTAGCGCCTCAGGACACCGACATAAAAGGTTCAAAGTATATCTTTCTGGTTAAACGTACTTCGCAAGTTCACGCGAAGGTGATCTGCTGTTGCAAGACTTTATCCTGGTTACTGTAGCCGAAAGCGAATAGCACCATTTTTGCACCCCCTCTATAGGTATCGAGTCCATCACAGTATGGTTGCCCTTGAGCAACACGGCAACTTTCCCTTACAATTCTCCAGTAAAAAATTGTACTCCTGAGTGGAAAGAAGGTCTATGAGAGTAATTCTCTTGCCTAAGAAACCGCCGCCTAGTTAGCTCACGTGGATGAGCGCCGGACTACTGTGCGGGAGGTCAGGAACGTTAAAGAACCCACACACTTATCTCAAGGAGTAGGGGACGTAGTTCCCGGTGTTGTGGTCTGCCCTAGATTCTGAAATCGGGGGCATCTCCTAAATCTCCTTCAAAAAAATTGTAAGCTGCTCAATGCAGTCTGACCAAAGTCCCCCGCAAAGTGTTGTAAGGCACATTTGATCATATTCAGATGTTAATTTGCGCCTAATAAGTAATAAATTATTATTATCATTATTATTATGAGAACACACCATGGTGAACCAGCCCTAGGGCCGCGTTCCAAACTTCATCACCCTTAATATTACGCCACCTTATCGCTGATGAAACTGCTGAATCCGAAAAAAGGCAGTCAACTTGAATAAATCCAGTTCATTTGGAAAAATCGAGCATGCCTCTCTTGCAGGGTACAACCTATCACCTTTCAGGTTGGAATCTGTGCGAGTTTCAGTTTTCAATTTTACAAAATGTCAGGTGAATGGATTCGTCTACTGAGATCAAAGTTATTCACGCTTTCAATTATGATGTTAATTCTTTATTACCTTGTCAGAAGAAGAGTTTCAATCATAGGTCTCCCACCACCCCCACCCCCTTACATAAAATACCCTTATTCTTACAAAAAAATTAATTTAACATTGCTCAAACATTCCTCACCTTTTCGTTCATATCAAATTTTCCTGTATTGAGTAGTAATTTTATCAGGTCCGGGTGCCCCTGTCGGGCAGCCAAATGAAGACATGTCATACCTTTAGTATCCTAAAAATAAACACAAGTTGAATTATGGCCAACACCACAAGCAGTTTGTTATGGCGCTGGGATTGGAAACATTTGAGTCGTTGTTCTGTTATCTGGCTGCTATACATTCCCAGTCCTACCTTGGTTCCCAAGACTGCACCGCAATCAATAAGGTATTCGATGGCTTTCACTTTGTGGTTACTAACAGCATCAAACTATCACAGAGAAAGAAGATTTGTTTGATTAAAAAACTTGGAAGTACAAACGCTTACAACAATTACATAGAGGAAAGTATCCTTACATGCTAAATAAAATTAACTCTTTCAAGTATTATGGTCTGCAGACAAGTGGAAGCTGCTACATTAGAAAACGCTCAATTTTGCTTCTTTTTTGTCTTCTTTGTTTTAATCAATTTTTTGCCATTAGTTGAAATTCAAAAGAGAGAAAGCAATGTTAGCTACTTACAATTGGGGTTCTATTTTCATAGTCTACAAGATTTAAGTCGCATCCCGCCTATAAAACAATTTAAAAAAAAGACATACTTCAGCCATCATTAAAAGATATAGAGGCAAGAAATTGATTCTTCCTTACACCACCAGAACTCACTCGACATAGAGTCCTTCTAGCAGCTGGTGATATTAGAGAACATCTTCCTGGCAATGACTCTAAATATTTTTCTTTTGAATCTTTCACAATTGATCAAGCTGGTGCGCCAGAGAGAAGCACAGTAAACTTTGTATTAACTCAAAGTACGTATAATTAAGCTTAGTCTGTGACGTTGAGCTTCAGATCTACGTCCTGCTTTAAACTTTTTTGAAAAAAATTCCCAGTTCCACGAGAATGACTCTTTTCCTATGGGAAGAAAATATAGGTAGTATTCTTATTCTTTTACCAGTCTCAGGCAAGCAATTATGTCGACGTAACCTCCCGCAGCAGCTGCATGCAACGCTGTCTTTCCTTTGGCTTTCATCAGTTGTTGGTTAGGATCACACCCCGCGACTGAAGGATAGAAAGGAAGTGGTTCTCGGTGTTAACTAGGACGTTCTGACCTTTATCCAGTTACTCTAACTCAGGAACACTTTAAGTATTAGGAATCACAAACAAGATAGAACTTGTGACTTTTTCGTAAGCCCTTAAGTAGATGATGATTTGATACTGATAGTTACCCAAGAGAGCAATAACTTTTTGGATATTGCAGTCTTTCGCTGCGGTGTACAAATTTCTTGGAGACGACTTGAACTTCTTCAGTGGTCTGAAAAGGGAGAATTATATTCATTTTTAAATTGACAACAACAATAAATCGAAAACTGAAACGCTCAGCATACTACAATATACATAACTCTAACTTGGTTTAGCCAGTGCATACCACGATATATTCTTTACCATACAATACTTAAAACCTAATGCGAGTAATTACATTAACCCCTCCCATAATTAAGTTAAACTAAAGATTTCTATCAACAAAGAATTTTTTCTTCTCCTAAAGTAATGCCCTTCGGTACTTTGAAAATGGTAAAATCATATAAGGACAGAAAGGTATCAAAATGGATGAGTTATAATCTGAAAAAGGTGCAGTTTATCTTACCTTGCCGTTTCTTTACATACACTCAATATTCCCCGTAAGATCTGCGGATCACCTAGAAGCTGACCGTTATCTTAGAATGAAGAGTAAAATAATAGATAATCGTTAGTTAAAAAAATATTGAAGAAAAAAAAAAAAGGGAAAACTTCAGTTCCTGAACTTTTAATTAGTTTATAAGCCATGGTATCTAAGCCGAAATACTGTGAACCACAGTTACGAATGGTCTACAAATCAGCGAAAAGAGCCTAGTAGCCTGCACTAGTTAAAATTTTGAGATATCTCTCTGAAATATTTTTCTTCCTGCTCGCTTGCTACATGGAGATACGGAAGGAATATGAAAGAATTGTCAACTATACCTGTTAAGTTTGCAGTAACTAGAGATAGTGAGTCTGATGAGGTACTGCTGCTACAGACATCACCCAGACTATGCCCTAAACTGTCAATTACCCTGGATACTGTTTCTGTTATGGACTCTTTTGCTGGACAGCTAGGACTTGATGCTTGGGTACTGACCACAGGTGCAGACTGATTGTGCAGAGACAAACTGTCGATCACAAATGAATAAAGGGGTAAGTTTCTAAAGAAACTGTGGTGCTGCGTCGGTGGGAGAGTATAGCAGGTAATTTAGTGTTAACAACTGGGTTGAAAACGTAAATTAGCCACCGTAAAGGGTAAAAAAGCTGACGTTTCGAGCGTTAGCCCTTCGTCAGAGCGATTGGACGAATCGCTCTGACGAAGGGCTAACGCTCGAAACGTCAGCTTTTTTACCCTTTACTGTGGCTAATTTACGTTTTCAACCCAGTTGTTAACACTAAATTACCTGTCGATCACAAAGATAGATATTTGCCACACCTACAATCTAGTTTTACAACACGTGAAGCTCACTGAACAAGTTTCGATTTTATCAAACTATGTAAATAGCGTAAAGGGGGTTAGTTTCTAAGGAAACTGTGGTGTTACGTCGGTGGCGGAGTATAACAAGATAATTTGGTCAAATCAACTGAGTTGGTCATGTGAATTGTTCACCGGTAAGAGTTACTATGCTGATGGAGGAATGGAGGAATGGAGGAATTGTGGGTTGTGTGCGTGTTTATATGCAGAAAATGGAGCTACGCTATTAGTGGGAACATGTTAACGAGAATAAATAAGAATAAATTAGTTTCACGAAAAGCATTCGTTGATATCGTGGGGATTAGGAGTGCCTATTTAAAAGGTAAATTTTCATTCAAACTGCCTAGAGGTAGGATAGGGCCGCAGACTGTCATATGCAGCTTTGAATGATCAGGGAGATTAAAGTGTCTTGTAAATACGCACAAATATAGCAGCATATTGAAAACAGCCACTCAAAAACCGAGGTGTGACTCTTTGTAAAAAAATGTTTCACTTTTGAAATAACCTTGCCACATGGCTATACGACAGTGTACAAATATATCATTTTATTAACAAAAAACTTTGATAGACGTTCACTATATTCAAAGTTGTCATTCTTCACAGCATCACCAACATCTTTCACTGTAACTTGAGGTAAATATCTGTACAGCCTAGGGTTAGATTGTTCAAATTTAACTCACCTATCTCCCGAAGCACTATCTGTACTCATTTTTGCTCCTAACAAAGACAAAGACAGTAAATAAACCCTGTTTTCGCTGAAAAACACGCAGTTTACCTGCGAAAAGCACTTCCTTCTGGTATGAAAACCATACTTTTCAATAGCACCAACAAAACTGACTCAACATTCAAAATTGACAAAAGTAAGAAATAAATAAAGTATTCCTACGTTTTCTTGTTGAATCTTGACAACTCTAAAAAAAAAAAAAAAAAAAAAGAAAGAAGAAATGAATCACTTTTGTCAAATAAAATTATTTATCTGATTATTTTATTTCAATCATATTGGAACTTCCTCATAAAGGAAAGGATGTACAGAAAGGTGTTTCTGTTAAACATTTGTAAATAATCAGCTGGAACTGAAACTAAAACTGGTGCAAGAAGTTTCCAAACCCACCCGGTGTAATGCTAAAAACATAAGGAGTGAAAAACAAAAGTGAAAATGCAGAAATTAGTTAATTTGTCACATCCTCTCATTCTGGTCATTGTCTGCTTTAAGTCACTTATTGTATTGTAAAGTGTTTCTAAAACAACTAAATTCCTAACTTCTTTAAGCTTGAGCAATATGGAAACCATGAACCTCTGTCACATGTATTTCTGATCATTTCACTTACTGGTTGATCCACTTCACTTGTTGAGTCCTTCATATGGGGGCAGCTTTCTGGAGGTACTCTTGCAGCTTATTGCAAACAAATCAACACAGATTACATAAAAAAAAAATTCCAAAACTTTTTACAGGTGTCAAAGGGGAAACAAACCAGAGAATCAGATGTCGTGTAATGCTTTGGATAAATTAATCTCATTTACAAAAACATAGTCTCTTCTCTTGAATTAAGACATACATTTTAAAGCTCGGATCAAATATTCAGATCTTCACCCTCATTATCAGCTGAAAATACTTTTGTAACTCTGGTGAAGGCCTACATTTGAAACATAAGTTTTAGAAACTCTTTAGGGTGGCCAATTTTCATTTATCAGCTATGTTGATACAACCAAATGTTGATACAATCCAAATCTTGTTATATTCTCAATGGACAAAGCATACAGTTTGTTTAGAAACTTACCCCCATTATTCATTCTCTGTATACTGTCCCCTACCCTAGATGCTGTTTCTGATATGGACTCTGTTACTGGACAGCCAGGACTTGATGATTGGGTACTGACCAAAGATGCTGACTGATTGTGCAGAGACAAACTGTAGATCACAAAGAAGGATACTTACCACACTTACAATGTAAATGTAATCTTTAATTTAGTTTTAAAATAAGTTGAGCCCACTGTACCAGTTTCATCCCATCACCACCATTCAAAAACCAAACTATACTGTCCAGTAGCAACTCTCAAAAAAGGGGCAGCATATTTAAAACAGCCACTGAAAACTGTGTGACTCTGTAAAAAATAAGTTTCAGTTTTGAAATTAACTTGCCACATGCCCACACAACAGTGCAAAAATATAACATCTACAAAGAATTTTGATAAAATTTATGAGGTTGTCAATCTTGAAAGTATCACTAACATTTTCATTTGTGCCCTGTAACTAAGAATGGAACACTGCTTTAGCAGTAGTGAAAATGAGGCCTGAAAACAATTCAGGTCTGCATGACATTTGAACCCATGACCTCTGCAATACTGGTGCAGTGCTCTACCAACTAATCTAACAAGCCCACTGGGAGCTGGTCATTATGTTGGTTTGTAAGAAACCCAAGAAGTGATGAATAAATGACTGTAAATATATGAAAATCACATATGTGAACTGCCTATTAAGAAATGAAGGAAAGTGATCTTTGCAGCCATGAACACTACTTCAACAATAGTGAAAATAAGGCCTGAAAAAAAATTCAGGCCTGTACAATATTTGAGCATACAATGTATACATCCTTTGTAGGATTAATAACATTTCACTTCGCTCACTTGTTTACTGAAGCACAATCTGTACTCATTTTGGCACCTAATAGAGACAATGACAATTATTAAAATCTTTGTGAATGCTGAGCCATGGAAATGCAAATAAAAAAAGAAAAACACTTCCTTCTTGAACAAAAATCATATTTTTTATTAGTATCAAAAAAATTACTCAACATTCAAACTTCACAAAAGCAATTAATGAGTGTAGTATTCATACGTTTTTTTGGTGTATCTTGACAACTCTGGGGAAAAAATTGATAACTAATGTCAAATAAAATGAATTATTTGATTATACATTTACTCTATAAAAGGTCTTTGGTAAAAGTTTGCTAATAATGAGCACTGGATAACTTTGAACTGGAAGGAAATGTTACCAAACCCATCCAATGCAATGCCTAAAAAACAAGGAGTTCAAAACAGAGACAAAAAAGAAAATAGAAATTAGTTGTCTTATTCCCCTGTTCTACTCTAAAATCCAAACTTCTATAGGCTTGAGTAGTTTGGAGACCACAAATAATAAACACTAGTATAGTTACCAAATCCACCTTAAGTATTGACAAAAAAAGACATGAAATTAGTTCAATTGTATTATCCTCTCATTCTGCTCTAAACTCCAAACTTCTACATGCTCAAAGACCATCAATAATAAACTCTGGTATTCCCTTGCTTATATAACTTACCAGTTGATCCATTTCACTTGATGCGTCCTTCATAAGGGGGCAGCTTTCTGGTGGTACTCTTACATCTGGTTCCAAACAAATCAACACAGATTACAAAAAAAAAAAAAAACAACACAATTTACAGTTATCAAAGGGGAACCAAACCAGAGATCAAATATAATGCTCTAGATAAAATAATCACATTTACATGAGACATTTCCCTCTTGAAGTGAATACATCTATATTAAGGCCCAGGCCAAAATTTTCTTTATAATGATTATGAGCTGAAAATACTTTTGTTAAATAATATTTCTTTACTTAAACGAAGCAAATTAAGTCAGAAGTTACCATAATAACGCGAGTTAGTGCACTTGCTTCAATAAGTGCTCCTTCTCTAATAAGCACCCAACTCAAATTTTGTTTTTTGTTAATAAGCGCCCTAATCAAATAAGCACCCACATTAAGTAAGTACTTTCATTCCAATAAGTACCCCTATTCTGTTTAGGTAATGGCATTGTTAGAGTACATGGAAATTAATATAAATTGTGGTTTATCTTCCTTTTCTCACATTAAGCCTTATTAGAAAGACAGAAGTCTTTGTCTCCTTCTCTTGACTATTATATCCATGTGATGGCACAGTTCCTTCAAACAAATGACCTTGTCTTAACTTGTCTTGTGACAATTGCTTGCCTAATTGTTTTAGCCAGGAATGATCCAAGTCCCTTTCCAGTCTTCTTGATTTTTTAAAATAAACTTCAAAGCTTTGTTTCACACACTGTGCTGTTTCTCAAAAAGAGAAATAAGTGCCCTGTCCCTAACTAGTGCTTTGTCTCAAATAGGCACTCTCTTTTGAGGTAACAAAAGTAAATAAACACCTGGGCACTAAATCAAATCATTACAGTAAGCAGACAGAGTATCATTTAAAATAGAAATAATTAACCAAATTTTATGAAGAAAAATTCCTGTAAAATACATTTACCATTACCACATAATTTACTCAAATCAAGGAGTACCTTGCTCATTAACAGAGCCACTTGCTGCTTTGCTTTTGTTATCCCCTTCTTCATCAGAGTCTATGATAATGGAGTCATTTTTTGTTTTTCCTTTGTCTGCATATTTCAAAGATCTCTTCTTTAATTGACAGCTACAAATTGTCCTAATGATTGGTTTCATTTGACCATCAGAAGTTGGTGCAAAGACGGTCATCATGCCATCCTGAGAAGCAAGACATGGTGGAGTACTGGTCATAATCTGAGACACACTGGAAACTGTCACATTCATAGGAGGCACTTCTGTGCCACAATGCAGTTTTACTTGATCTTCATGTTTTACTTCTGAGGCTGTTTCAGAGGTAGGGTTATTAAGAGTCAATGAGGATGAATTTGTGCCATCAATGAATTTAGAAGAGTTAGGTGATGGTTTGTGAATAAATGGTGCAACTTTGTTGATCGATGGATTCTTGTTTTCAGATTTCTTCTCCAATGGTGGATTATCACTGGTACTTGTTGATGTGGTTTGTCCATCCTTTTGTGCTTGTGCTCTGTTGTTCGTCAGTTTAGCCAGGCTTGAAGAACTTTTAACACTGACTGTTACATTTTTGTCCACTTGTTGACTTTCTGTAGTTGATGACAATTCATTTTCATTTGAAACAGATGTACCTGTAAGAATGACATTGAAGTTGAGTGATGTAATTAAATAGAGCATGACAATTACTTTCAAAGAATTGTTCAATGACTTCTTCATTACAATTTTCTTTTGAGCATTCAACACAAACTAAACCTGATTTAGTTCGTCCATATCTTGTTTAAAAAATTAAGATATAGCTGCAGTGTGCAAGCAGGATTTTATTAATTAGAGATTAGAGTTACTCTAAGCATAATGAACAGGTTTAAGACTATGAGATTATAAAAATTTGCCTCTTAATTTTACCTTACATCTTTACCTGCATGTCATCCACTAACTTGCTTATTGCTTTGTTTTAGCCAGAAGTATAGGAGAATAATTAATACAGCAACAGGGCCAACTAAAGGTACACTTATGGCAATTAACAGAACCATGATGTATAAACAACTCATGCAGTAAAAGGAAAAATTCATAGAGAGTAAAAGTGCTTCATCTTTGCATGTATCAGGTGTTTGCACATAATTGCTATACATTGAACACCAACATAAGATATTGTTCACAGAAATACAGGGCGTGAAATTGCGCCTAATACAGGCACCAATGCGACTAAATTTTTCCCTTTGGTGACCAAATCCTGAAAACTAGTCACCAAATTGGCGACTAGAATGTTTCATCATAACCTTACCAAGAGATATCATGAATTAAAAAGATTTGCAAAGATAAATCTGCGGCAAACTTCCTCGTTAAGTTTGTTTCCAAAGCGCAGCACGTGCATCTTGATTGATAACTAGACGCCATCTTGGATTTAGATGAGCCTGAATGTTGTATATCATCCATCCTAGTGTCCACTTTGTAGCACGTTAAAGATCTTTCCCCTAACTTAATTTTGGAGGGTCTCTCTAGAATGCTGACAGCGTAAAAAAAGGTTTTGTTTGTCTTTGAAAATGGCGACCAACTTTTTTTGAATTGGCTACCACTTTGAAGAATTTAGGAGCCAAGTGGCTATCAGAAAAAAAAAATTAATTTCACGCCCTGAAATTTGCATTTTCCTTTTTCTTCTATTCCTTAGTTTCCAAGACACTCAACTTCAGACAAGTTTAAATTGACAAACACCAGAGGGAGTGTTTGCCAATTTAACCCTAAATTTTTTAAAGGTCAATTTTTTACTTTAAAATTTGAACACAAAACCTGCAGTTTTTTTTTTCCCCAGAAAATGTGAACATAATCCTGAATTTATTTCAGAGGTCTATTTGGCTCTGGGAAACTTTGAAAAAAGTAAATACTGAAAGAGCTAGTCACGTTTGTGCCCCTGTCATTAAGCCCTGCCACTGTATCAATTCATTTAATACTTATTAGACCTTTGGAGCTTGCACAGGCTGGTCTGAAACTCTTGGGGTGCACCTTAGGTGGATGGCTGTATCCACCTCCTCTAGAATGCACCCTGGTGCTCCTTTGATGGTAAAAAGTGGCTGGTGAGTCAGGTGGGCCATAATTCATTGATCTACCTGGGTGCCATGAAGGTGGAGAATTTTTCTGTTGTTGTGAATTTACACGTCCTCTTAGAAGTGCATGAGATGGATAAGATTGGTACAAGTCCTCTCTATTCATTGGTTTTGCCATGTTTCCTGCTCCTCTTCGGCCACGCTGATGCCTTCCCCGGTGTCCTCCAGGTAAACGTGCCTCATGATTTTGCCCTTTCCACTCTTTTCCAAGAAACCTTGGAGAAGGGGCATAATTGTGATACCTGTATCTATGATTGGCAGGACAATCCATCAGCTAGTACACCCTGCAACAACAGATTACTATTAAGTTGTTCTTCTGTTTGTTATAGACACTTAAAAACTTGGTCCACATCAATGGCAATTATGTTGGATCAAGTAGTCTGATCATCAGAGAAGGGATAGAACTGAGATAGACTATTGACCACAGTGATGACTGATGTTTCAACAACCATAGTGGAAGTCATCATCAAAGTTGAGTGAAAAATTGCTGTCAGTTATGTGTTGTTAGTCTTGTTAGGTAATTGGTCAGTTTTGCTATGTTGTTATTTGCTGTAAAATTCAAGCAGCTCAAATCTTCAGGTAACTTCTTACATGGCACTTCTCAGGGAGACAGAGTGTGGCTCAAGCATTTCATACTGATTTAGCAGAGGGGCAGGTGTTATCTGTAATCCTAACTTTAGAAAAAAAAGTTCAAACCGTCCATCCATCCTGCACCACTGACAAAGTGAAATCACTTGACATGACTGCTCTTAGAGAATATCACCTAATGTTTTTGAAAAGTGAAGGTTCTCACAGTTCACACATAAGATTGTTCTTGCTATCACTGTGACCAGGGTCCTCTATTAGTTGCCACTTATTAAGTGTTACTATTCCTTATGAAAATTATATTTCTTCCTTTTCTTTTGGCTGTCAATAAATTTGAATTTAGAAGGTAACTTAATACTGTAGGAGGCCAAGTTACTGTGGACATCATTTTGATTTTTCAGATCATGTGAAGGAGTGGAAACTATTCAGCTAAATTTTCCAGTTGTCCCATGAAGTCTTCAGAAATCCTTAGGCAAATTCTGAATGTGGTATCAATTTACATATCTGACCTTGTTAATGGAAAATTGTGCATTTCATTCCACTTCAAAATTAGGATGTGTTTATTTGTATTGTTTTGATGGCAGTTCAATAATAACTCAATAACTGTGCAGTTTTTTTTAATCAGCAATCATGTTAATACGAGTGGAAATACTCAGATAATGATAGCAGGATAGCCAGTGGTTTTGGTTGATTACCTGCCTTAATTAAAACTATAACAAATTTCTGGAACTTGATTGGTTATCCTGAGCCTAATTTGAGCGCTGACTGGACAAGTTTATATATGCTTGTAATTGGACAGCGTAATAGGACAGTTGACATGTCATGCCTATGTGTGTGGACAGTATGCATCAAGTGCAGGCACTGTTGTTATCCATTTTCCTGAGTTAACTGTTTTTTTTTTTATGAAAACACATCACTGATGTATATTTTTTTCCTAAAATTGTCATAGTTTTGGTTAATTGGTAATAGGACTTTTTATCATTCAATTCTGCCTGCTTTCCACACTCATGATTAGACCTAATCAAAACTATAACAAAATTCTTGAATGTGATAGATTATCACCAGCTCAATATGAAATGCTTGTAATTGGACAGTGAAACAGGAGAGTTAATGGGACAGTTGACATATCATGCCTGTAAGTGGACAGAACGTGTCATGTGTGTGCATTGTTGTCTCATACTTTGAGACTGTTGTTTTTTTTTTTAATAAAAATGTATTTTTATCAAATTTTGTCATAGATTTGATTAATTGGTAACAGGACTTCATGTCATCCAATTCTGTCTGTAATCATACTCGCAATTAACAATTTTGCTAATCACTCATTTGATTTAAGACTGAATTGGTCTCTACTTAGTCCTATTGCCATTATTAATTGACTAACTTCAGGCTAGTAAATACTCAATAACAATACAATATGCAGCACACAAGTGTTGGGAAAACATTCACCTGCAACCCATTAAATGCTTTCGTTAGTGAGTAATCGGTGTTAGTTTTGGCTATTTTCCCTGTTAAAACCAGGGGATATCTGCTGTTTCTGCTTAGGTGATGTTCTACAATTTTAAAACTTTCTTAGTTTCCAATTTGATGAAATTTTTGTTTTGAAATGCAATTTATCTGGGGTGTGCTTTCTGGTGTCTCCATATGTATAGATATATATTAGAAGAAGCAAAAGCTCTTGTTCTTTAAATTCTAATAGAGATTTTAGAAAATTAACATCCCACATAAAGAATGTTTTGATGAAAAGATGCTCATAAAAATTTTGCCCCATAAAAGATATTTGAAAGAGACTAAAATAATAGCTTGAATCTGGTGGGAAAACATGCCCTGACATTTGTTTATCCTTAACCTTCAACTGCAGAAAACTGTTGGCTTCCCCAATTAGTAAACAGCTAATGTTTGCCGATAAATGTGCGAGCATATTTCTTTGCCCAATGTCTACTTTTATAACAAGAGAAAGTTTCTATCATTAGCACCAAATTGTCTAATTTGTGAGGATGTTCCTTGCAGTCAGAGACTCAGAAAGGTGGTAGGAGCCACCTTGCAATGGGGATAAAACTTCAAAAACAAATATGCACTTGTTTTCAATCAATTCATTTCTTTTCCTAGCAAAAATTTCAATCTCAAATTCAATTTCCATATGGAATTGGAAACCCTTTTCACTTGTGTAATAAACAAATTTGCTTCACATAACGAAATGTTGAAATGCCTTCCTTAGTTGGAATAGTCTAATTTGCATATTAAGTAGAAAATGCTGACAAAGGCAGGGAAATATGGAGTTCGATTCAGTCCTACCTTTTTTACATAGCTTGAACATTGTGAAAACGAAATAGGAAGTTTTCTAGTCAAAATTGCGAATGAGATTTCATTCATCAAGACAACGCTTCGCTGCCGTTTTACTTAAGTTTCAGCTGACACAAACACTATCAACAGCCTATTCAGGCGATCTCCATAAATAACAGTGTTAGCGGCGAAATCTAAATCTCTGATGGCTTAAATGTTAACGCCTCTGATATGCACGAACAGATTTCGGCATCTTGTCGCGAAAAAACAAACCGATTTCATTTAACTCCAAGAAAATAACAGCACAGCAACCTGAAGGTTACAGTTGGCACGTGAAGTGATAAACATGTACGATAGATGCACGACTCGAGCAAAACATTCAAAGATCGCAATTAAGCGGTCAACGAGAATTCTGGCAGTGTATTAACTGTCAATAAAATGTATCGATGACGGTAGGATATAGTCAAAGAGTAACAAAGCAAAGCCTTACCTTTCCTGAACGGGCTTGTCGAAGCCAGATTTCGACCCGCGAAAAACGTTAGGCGGAGCTACGCACGCCAGCAAATGTGGTGTCCGCTGTGAACATCGCAGTTTCAATGGTTTCGCGTGACCTCTTTGGAGTCCATTGGAAGGAAAGTTAGTAGGAATTGTAGGGTTTTAGTGTAACCTTTCACCAAAAAGGAAGGCTACAGGGAATGGAAACAATGGTTTTTCTCTTGGTAGTTGTTGTGATAGCAGCTTTTGACCCATCAAAATTCTCCAGAACACGACATCACATGATTCAAAATTTAGGTGTTGTGTGACAAGTAACGCAAGGCTTTCCATAGCCTGGGGGGTTGGAAATATTTTTGAGACTCGTAATTAAAAACAACAGAGCACTCCCCCCCCCCTTTTTCCTCCTAGAAACATGGCTTTAAACATCTTATCTCTAAAGAGTAAAATTTTGTTTCAATTTGGAAGGATACCAGATATACGACTTTCACAAAAAGGGGAAGCATGCGCGTCTTTAATAGTCAGGATTTATTCTTCACAATTACCATGATTTCGGCCTCTTTTAATGTACATTAAGTGAGACACACAAATAATAGTTTCTTTCTCTTCAATGGAGTCAAGCAGAAGTTGTAAGTTGTAGTTATATAGCTAGAATAATCAGTTACACCAAGAGATTACAGGTTCTAATCTCTTGCTTACACTTATCCGTTTAAAGTTGCTCGCTGTCGAAACACCAATATATGAAATGATAGAAGAATCTTAGTATAGTAAACCTAGCCATTCAGCTGAGGGCAAAAGCAATTCTTCTTTGGAATAAATAAGGATACCCCGATGAGATGACAAAGATCAGTTATAGATTCTTCCATTCAATATGTTTGAGTGCAAGGGCCAGGAAAAGTTGATCTAACGACACTAGTTGGCGATGTACCGAAGCATTTTGTTAATAAACTCTTAAAAAGGTTTTACAACAAGAACTTCGAGGTATTTATATAGTTGTCACTCATTCTTGTTACCCTTAGCCTTCAACTACAATTCTATACTCGACTGGCAATCGATCGAGAGAATTGGCCTACGCAAACCAAAACAACCAAAACACATCTGGTCGGTAAGAACAATAAGACAAAAAACCTCACGGTCAGAAAACATTTATTATGACGCTTATCCGGAAACAGCCGTTTGCAAGATGAAAATATCGAACAAAACAGACAAACAAACACTTGGTGTGATATCGAGTGTTGTAGAACCAGAACCAAACTAACCACAGTATCAGGACAAAGGAAAACGACCCTCGGAGCCAATGAAACCTCAAATTAGGTAAAATTAAGCGAACTGTCCGAAACACGGATAAATGCGAGTAATAACGCCGCGAGTTATTCCTTTTAATATTATTTGCATCTTATTTGTTAAGGAAGTGGTGCGAGGTTTCTATACATATTTATGAGCGAAGTAAGGACTGGGTCGCACGAGAACGAATTCCACTTTTTTCAAATGTTTCGCGGAGAAAAATTGACAAAAATTTTAAATTTTCCAAATTTTGGTGGCGGTCGCATCAAATAAGTTTCAACCAAAACTTGACCGATGGGTAGATGAGACAATCGAAAACCCATCTCGCTCTTTAGTGCCCGAATAAACCAAAACATCTCGTACGAATTACAGAGAATTAAAGAATCGTTATTTCGTGGCTTTGTAGTTTTCTTCCTGGGACTTCGTTTTTCAGTCTCAGACAAAAAACATAGAAATTTTAGTTTTTTCGGTGCAGTACTAACTGACTTTTTGTGGATGAAGGGGGAAAATTTCTAAAGAAACTATGGAGCTGCGTCGGTGAGAGAGTATAACAGGTAGTTTGGTTCCCGTTAAGAGTTTCAAAGCTGACGTTTCGAGTGTTAGCCCCTCGTCGTAGCAAAATACTTTTTTGGGGTTGCGTCTGGTTTACGAAGACATAGAAACTGGGGACGTATTAATTTCACGCTACTTTTTTCATAGATTTACATTTACACAAACAAAATTAGCTCTAGTGTGACCCGGCCCTAGAGAAAACAAATGTAATCTCCGATTAAATTACTATTAACAGTAAATTGATAATTTGCCTTATTTGACGAAACTCCTAAGTATTGGCTTCTACTAAGAAAAAAAAAAACTTTTAACCGGTAATTAATACTGTCTATGAAAATTACTATTTCTCTATTTGATAGATGTTTTATCGTAGTGAACAAAACTCCTATTATAACCAATTGATAGTTGTGTAAGACGAATCTAGTTAACCTGCTCTAAATCATGGCCAGGAAAATTGGGGAACAACTCCATCAATTAAAGGAAGGATTTCCAATGTAAATACTTCCTAAAAAAAAAAAAAAAGAAACGAATCTCTAAGTAAAAGTAAGAAGTTTACTCCTAGACTTTCTATCTCATTTTATCGGATTAAAAAGGAAAATTATACCGTCATTTTTTTAAACTTTGTCTTGTTTAGTTCCTGAGAGCACTGTTATAGTTACACTGAAGCAGCTAATGTATTGTAACGCATAATAATGATAGCTAAAAATTGTTTAAACGCTTTATTTTCCAAATCAGTTGTACTCCTTTGTGTTTGTCGACGCCTGTCGTAGAAAAAAGTTTACTACGGTTTCTTTATAGAGAGGACAGGTTTTTCTGTGTCGCAAAAGCATACCAAAATATGGTGGCCTCGGAAATCAGGTGATTACTTGTACAAACTGCATTTCACTAATTTCAATTGTCATTATCTACCGTGTGTTGTTAGAAATTAGATGCTTACGAAGGATAATGCTATAAATTTTTTTGTAACAAATAGTGAGTTATGTTTGATTATATTTCATTTAAGACCATTCCTTCTGTCTCAGTTCTACTCTTCTAATCTTGCCGCTGACTGTCTTGGGTAAGCTATCCACAAACTCAATCTGCAAAGTAATTCAGGAAATGAGTACATTAAAAGATTCGTTTCCTAAAGTAGAGTGTACACCCCTCTTTCACATGCAAGTAGCAGGATAGAATGCTAATCTCTTACATTTATGTATATTAGCCTTCTGGCCTCGACAACTTTAAAAACAACAGGATTTTCGCGTAAAAGCGAGCCTCAGGGGGCTAAAATGCATAATTTGAATCAAAGGATAATAATCATTTACGCCATTGTGGAAAGGTCTATTTTCTTTAATTCAAAATTATCTTTTGGCGAAGCCTTTTTTCAAAATCATTGCTCCAATCTTTAAATCTACCACCTCCAAAACCAACGCTTATAATTTCTCCAGCGACCTACCACAACGTACTAGCAATTTACAGGCATTTCAACATTTCACATGTTCGTCATTCCTAGTGGAATTTCTCAAGCGTTTTAGTTCATTCCTTGTTCAGCCAAGGTCGATCTAACCGTCGACAGGTTACCTTTCTCGGATACTTGTACGGTGCTGTTGTTTCTTTCACGTGGTCTTGTAATTCCTGGACCAATGCTTCTCTGTCTCCAGTAAAATGTGGTGAGAGAGTAACAAAGGCTTTCACAATCTATACACAAACGAAAAACAATGAACAAGGAAGTTAATCAATTAAATCCTTCCAGAAGCTTACGTTACCCGCTTTTTTTAGGGCAAACTATTTGAAGACGTTTTCATCGAGTATACGCTTCAATTTGGTAAGCTCGGATGAAATATGAAAAACACAAAGCTTAATTTATTTTAGAGCATCACAGTTTTAATGTCTGCCAAGATACTCAGTTTTAAAATAATAACCTGTTCCTCATGTTAATCTTAGTTTATAACGACTCCTATGTAAGTGGGTCCAAATGTACATCTCGGCTGGTGAGCATCCTTTAAGATTTTTGTTACTTAAACAAGGACTTCTCCTTGTACCTCCCTATCAAAGTCCACTCATCTCACCTCCCCCCTTAGGGAATCAGGACTACTGACAACAGCTGCCTCTGCGACTGCTTGGTGTTCTATCAAGGCGCTTTCAACCTCGAATGGACCAATTCGATAGCTTAAAAATTCAAACAAACACAAATAAACAAGAAGAAAACGAAAAATGTGCACAAGGAAAAAAAAAGCAAAATATTTAATAAAATAAATGTGGACTAATTTTAAAGAGTATTTGACAATCTTCCACCTTGTGAATGTAACTTGTATGCAAAAGATTTGGACTAATTCTGCAATGGAGGGTTCTGAGTGCTAACATCTTAACTTTGTAAACAGTACATAACGCACGATGCTCAACGATTGTTCTTAGAAACTCTGAAAGGTATCTGATGAGTTTCTTTGACGAGACAAAAAGCTGCGTCATACCAGCTACGAGCTATTTTGTCACAGGTATTAAAAATTTCTATTTCAATCTCTGATCATATTAATGGGGCTTTTAGGAACGTTAACAAATGGTACGCTCCACAAATTTGCCTTCAGATTGCGGGAGATGAGTTGGTTTCACTTGCGTTTGAATTAAAAGTGAGATGATTCTATTTTTTTACTATTACCTTGACCTTGGGGGTTGTTCTGAGTCTTTGTTCAAATCCCAATCAGGCTTAGTGTGACATTTTGGCAAACTCACTTCTACTTATTTAATCAAAAAGTATCTATCTCATTTGCTCGTTCGTTTACATATTGTTTCTACTCTGTTACAAAGATGCCTTTCATGCACGTACTGATTTATTTACACATTTATTATTGATTAAAAATAAAATGTTCAAACCACATTAAGCTACCAACCCCGCTGAGAGTATGACGTCATCAGATCGACCAACAAAATAAAAGTAGCCGTCTTTGTCTTTGTAAGCTTTATCACCTAAAGCATAATGTTCAAGATGAGAAAAATACAGGTACAGTTAAGAGGTATGGTAACTCTTTGATGGACCCAAAGTCTTCTATCATCACGCTACAACTCGATCTGTTTTTTTTTTCATTGTTTGTGTGTATGCATGCTCTCTTAGTCATTTCCTCTGTTCAGTCCAACTTGTTATTGAAGAATTTATTTTAATGTTTGTTTTCCTTCCGCCTCGATTAGCTTCGGTATTTTGCGGGTTGGGATTGTTAGATATGTATTTCAATTGCTAAAATAAATAAACTTTGTTTTTGTTCGTTGTTTTGTACAGCAGGCCGAGATAAAACAAGATCCCATATTTTAAAGGTCCAAGGTGTTTTAGTGGATTGATCTAAACTTAAAGAAGGTACAGAGGTTATACATAAAACGTCGAAAAGGCCTCTGGTTCATAAAATTTCATCAAAAAGCATCGGCCGTAATTTCATTATTAAGTTTAGTCATGAAGACTATCAAAGAATGTGGTGAACATTATGCATGCTTTGGGAAAAAACTGAGATTTCTAGATCTAGGGACTTAAATTTAACATTTACAATTATTTTTAATTTACCAGTCCAATAGAAATTATCATGCAACACAGCATTTGTTCGATCAGGATCATCCTGTATAAGAATAAAAAAACACCTGAGCCGAAGATCTGATTCGTTTTAGAGTGTTGAATTTATGGTATTTCAGTCGATTTTTGCTCTCTAACATAACCTGGTTATGTTAATAAATTAAATTAGAGGCCCTAAATCGTTTTCCTGGATTAACGGCATTGTTTATCTCAGCGAAGAACACTGTCGCACGGGGGCCTGTTTTTGTTTTGTTTTGTTTTTCATGTTACTTTTTTAAAAGGATAAAAAGCTAGAAAAGAAACAAACACGTAAGATTGAAAAGGTGAAAATTACCACGTAGCGAGTAAAAAGTCCCACAGGTCTGTTTGATGAAACTTCTACAACAACTTCACCTTCTACTCCATCCGGGCATTCGTTCCCTTGTTCATCCACAATCTGAAAAATTAGACTGATTTTGTTCTTTATGCTGTATGAACTCAAATAATAACTCTAAATGAGTGACCGTTAACTGGATATAGAGAGATAACTAATTCCCGTTTTTAATTTTACGGTATTCGTTTAAAATTTTTATATATTATCAAATTTGCATTTATCTGCTTACAATGCTTCGAACTCAACTTTTTCCCCAAAGTATGCGGTTTGGTGACAGAAAGTTTAAGAATGATTCCCTGTCGTAGAGCCAAAAAGGACATTTTGTGCAATAAAACAATCCCCATCATAACCATTAACACCACCCGTCGGTATCAAATGAAAAACTTGCTTCAAAGGACAAATATAACTGGAAAATTCACCAACCTTTAAGTTGCATCCTGGCGCGGGCTTACCCATGGATCCTGGCCGATTTTCGAGGCAACGAAAGGTGCCGCACAGCAGGGTCTTAAGTTGAATAACGAAATTTAGAAAATGTGACCACTGATATATCAAAGAATCGCCAATTTGTTAGATTACGGTAATTTTGAGGTCAAGATTAACTGTCTATGTTCCTACACTATGTGTACAAACCAGTTACTTAGAGTGCCAACGCGCTTAATATGCAGTGACAGTCCCTAATAATGTTTGCTGCCAAATAACATCACCAGAAAAATATCGTCCGATTTACTGTAGAAACATAATCGGAAATGCCATTTTTTGTACCTAACTGAGGAACAAACTGTTGTGAAAGTAAAGTTAGCGTAGTCTTACTAAGGGGATTCATTTGTGTACGTAAGGAAAATTGATCGCATCTTCTTGTTTGACTAAACTTACAGTTTCAGTTTGACCATATCCTTCTCTTATCTCCAGCCCAGTCATCTCTCGCCACTCAGTTCCGACCTCAGGATTTAAAGGCTCTCCTGCGCTTATACAATGCCTCAATGACGGAAACTTGTATTTGCTAAGGTCCTCTTGGATCATCATTCGATAGGCTGTGGGGGCCGAGCAAAACGTGCTTATTGGGTACTTTTGCAGCGCATCTAATATAGCTACGGGCTCAAAACGTGCCTTATGGTACACGAATACGCAGGCACCTTGAGACCATGGGCCAAAAAAGCTGCTGTACGCAGACTTTGCCCAGCCCGTGTCAGAGAGGTTCCAGTGGACATCCTCAGGAATGTTGTCCAACCAAAATCTGTGTAGCGAAGCAAAGGTATTTCGAACTGAGCGAATACAGGCTACTCGATAAATCATGAGTGTTAAAACAGTGTCAGTGAAATTTGAACAACGCTGAAGGTTTGCTTTTAAAATGAAATGAAACTGCTTTACCTACGGACACGCTAACTAACAGTCATTTTCTTGGATTTTGCTTTCAAAGTTAGCCATCAACAGACGGAAACATCTTATTTCAACATTTTTCATTCTAAGCTTTTTCTTTTTCTCTTTGGGTGCCTGTCGTATCATTTTCCACAAAAATAATAAAGAAAACATGAAATTGACTTCTATGATAACCTGATACCACTTCTTGACGTCATATCTCGTTACCTTACCAACCACAAGAAAACGTGAGAAAAAGGCGAAGTGGTCTTGAGAAAATCCCCTTGAAATAACCAGCGTAAGTAAGTAAGTGCCCGGCAAGTTACGATGAAATCAATAATGTGCAACTATAAGTCTTGACCGCTACATCAGACTTACTTTCCAGTAGTAATGTGCCCCAAACCACAACTAGCGTGTGTGTGCTCTGCCATCTTTGGGAGTCCTGTTGTTCCACTTGTGAAAAACACTGTCACTGGTTCGTTACTCAGTGTTTCTTCGCACTGAAAAACATTTAACAACACCCAATATCTCGTGTTCACACAGATAGAGAATTTGCCTAGATAATTAAATGAAACGGCAGGATCTTCACCAAATCGAAGAGCTAACTCTAAAAATAGTATCGTAGTATATTGATATCCACAAATTGTTGGAAATAAGAATACTTACTTGATGCTCATTTGAAGCCTGAGCGTAGAGGTCTTGGAAAGGAAGCCACCCTCTCCTAAAACACACAAAAAATGCTTAAGTCAATATAACCTTGAGTATTATTTGATATAATGACACCACGAAAGGACTGTCTTTACCTGTCTGGAGTCTTTTCATCTTCTTTCACGAGTAACTTAGATTTCAAATATGGTGAACAATTAGCAACCTTCAATGAAAGAGAAAAGCTGTCAACATTTTATTAGACAAATTGAATGCAGTTCCAAGTCGTTTCTGGTTGATCATCTACCGACCATTTATTCACAATGTTATCATTCAACATCAAGGACCTCAAAAACTTTTTTGACTTTCAAGATTCACCTAATATCTCTTTTGTTTCCGACGAGTTGCTGATAACTGCATACAAGTTCAACATAATTTCACAGACTATCCGGACTCTCTTAGAGAAGTAACCTACTGCCTTTGTTAAGAATAATCTTACTATTCACACCATATGTGAGCTTTAAATTTCAGCACAGTTTGAAACAAAGTAACCATACACGACTCTGCCAAGAAGTTGAAACAGGTTCCGTTTTGTCGCCTCTAACCAGTAAGTGGTTTATGATATGCAAAAAAAGTTGATTTTTTTTTTACCTTGAGAGCTTAAAAAAAGAGCTCTCTCTTTTTGCAAAATATTCATTTCAGTAATGTTATTTTTTAAAGCAAAATATAAGATTGTTTTTTGCGACTAGGTCTAACCGACATAAACACCTAACTCTTTCAATAATGTACCTCATCGACGAACGCAGCACTTTCCTGGTCTGCAATGATGCAAGTCGCCTTAGAAGCCAGCAGCCGTGACTCGATGTCTTTCGCTCGTAACTGAGTTGATCCAGGACTGATAATAGTTCCTTAAAAAATTAACCCAACATATCACTAACTGGTCTTCTCCACAGACCTTGAGATGTCACGCAATAAGCGTTACTTGACAAACCAAAGAGAAATTAATAAATAATTGAATAAAGGGGTAAGTTTCTAAAGAAACTGTGGTGCTGCGTCGGTGGGAGAGCATAGCAGGTAATTTAGTGTTAACAACTGAGTTGAAAACGTAAATTGGCCACCGTAAAGAGTAAAACGGTGGCCAATTTACGTTTTCAACTCAGTTGTTAACACTAAATTACCTAATAAATAATCGGATTCTTTGGACTTGAAAGACGTGTGCAGAAACGGGAAAGATCTGTATGTACACCTGATTGAAACCTCAATTTACAGACAGAGCAAAGGGAATAAGGCATAGTGCTACAAATCTAGGTGGTATCCGAAATGATGTGATTTTGAAAGTATATATTATCACTACCAGTTTATACCTGTCCGTAGGCAAGCGATGTTGATGAGCCACCATTCTGGAAGTCTCGGCAAAATGACCATGACACGATCCCCCCTCTGGACATCACATGCACCCGCTAGAATATTCGCAGTTCTTGAAAATAAAAGGAGAAGATACATGCAGCTACTTCCTTTCACAACATCACTGAAGGAGACCATAAACATTTTGGAAATAAGAACTGCCGATGACAAATCTACTGAGATCAGCTCTTCACTGTATGAAACACAACTTAATTTGCTGCCCCCTCAACTGATAAAGTCTCAGTACCAAAAATTACGGGCTACGTGATGCATTCTTAATATTCACCTTCTGCTGTTTTCTGTAAGATTCTGGAATGACCATTTTATTTCTTTTCCTTTATCGTCGACCCACCAGAAGGCTGGGTTATTTTCTGTTCGTTCTCCTGTCTAAGAAATAATGAAGTTTACGAAAAAATTGTGAAAATTAAATTGAGTTTTAAGGAGTGCACTGGATTGCCACAATTCACCATTCGCAAAGGTGAGAAGGACAAAATTTCTTCAAGAAGTTTTAGAATATCATTTGACATATAGTTCTGCGTTTGTAAGGTAGGTTTTATAGCGAGCGATGTATCATCTTTCTCTTACACAGGTGAATTTTCATGCTCATGTAAATTCGAGATTATATGAAACGCAAACAGTTACGTGACAATGATGCTGTCACGTAAACTCCACAAAACGGAATTTTCACCCATTTTGATTCAAAATTAAGCAAAATGATCGCGCATTACGTGATCTATTGTTTTAAGATATGAAGCTAGGTTTTTGTGTTGATTAAATTTTAAAACGCACTGGTGTACCATGAGAATTTCAAAACTGAAAATGAATCATTTTAAGCCTGCCGTAGAAAGCTGTGACTAAGTTTTCCGTCGAATCGAGCCACTAGAAACTTAACTCGTGTCATAAATTTCCAACCTTGAATGCTTTCATGAAAAAAAATTGGCAATTTGAAACAAATGGTTACTGAAGCTGAGACGTTTACACTTCGCGTGCTGCTGATCAACCAAATCAGTTGAACTTTGACTTTCACATTCATTGACAAATTAGACGATCAACCGAGACGAGTTAGAGAATAATAACTCGGTATCAGAAAACTTTCGTTCAAACCTTCTCTTTTTGCGCCCATTCATCAAGAACATTGGCAAAGTTAAAGTATTCTGGAACTCTGATGTGAAATTCTCTCCGCTCTTTCTCGTAGTCCGTGAATCCAACTTTCGAATCAAACACTGGCGGTGTTGTTGCGTGAACATGTCCAGAATTCCACCGTGAAAGGATGCAATCAATTCTTGCAATAGACCCATGGTGTATCCTTGATGATCTCCATGATTGAAAGCGAAACCTAAGCGCTGAAGCTAAGCAAAGCCGCATTTCGATCGCCACCAAGATTGATTCACCGCATGATGGTCGAGTTGGATTGCGTTACAATTTGGTGGAATAAATTAACTTTGATTTATCGGTCAGTGGAGCCTGGGCCGACCTTTTCTTAGCTTATTACAAGCTAAGGGATGGAAGGTATGAACGACGGTTGTGGTTATGAGAGGTATACAGGCCTGACTCCGCTGTTTCCGCCCGCATTTTTTTTTACCAGGGCTTTGGTATAGGCTACAGACCCATAAAAGCAGATGCACTGTAGACTTTGATACCACTGAATATTTTCAAATCAATATGTGGATCATCGTAATACACAAAATCACTCTTCGCCCGTGAAATTCAGCAATTTGTTAGAGATAACACATCCATCTTTAGCGATGGAAAGTTTACACATATATGTAATTCTGTTTGAATGGTCTAGTAAAGCTGGCATAATGAACGATGAAGCTTGTAGGAGCAGAAGGTGTTCTCAGACAACTAACCAAAAGAAGAAGAAATGCAAATGTTGTGGAGATACTTTATTCCACTAAGAGATTTGACTGGGAGTAAAAACGAACCTGTGTGCGGTCTAACTTCGGTGTTTTGCGTAATCATGTTGGATGGGCACAGCGTTCACTGTCGAGCACGAGACCATAATTGGTGATTGTCAAGGCAGTCGATACCTTTAACCAACTGAGACACGGTTAGTTGTTCGAGCATGAACAACCGAAAAATAATGGAGACTCAAAAGCTGTCATAGTTGTCACGTTTGCAGTTATCTTCACCTGCTAAGATTTGTCTCCTTCTATCTTTCGATCTATTCCTCTAAGCTTAAAATCCGGTCTCGATGGGAGTAATTAGTTTTGTTTTCTCGAGAGCCTCAATGTTCATTTCGCTGTGACACTTAGGAAAACAAACCAACGATTTCCCTCGAGACCAGAAATTAAGACCATCCTCTAAGGCCCAGGGATCTCAGAGGTTTTACACTGAGTTGTGACTTAAATGATTTTCCCCAGCGATGGATTCTGGACTTTCTTTGACGTCGAGGGTCCTCGATCTGGTGACGTAAAGTTTGCATCACTCTGGGCTTTAGCCTCCAGTGAAACATTGTTTCTTGACGCTTATTAAAGTTTCCTGATGTCAGCTACCACGCTTCTTTGTGTACTCATCTATAGATTGTCTCACTTTTTTCACTGTCCGTTCCACAAGCCTCATAAATTCACGCACATCAAATGCGTAGTTTCTAAACTTGGGATGATCACTATACCGTGGATGTAGTTCCTGAAAAATACAAAATAAATAAATATGGTATGTTTTTTTAGTAAGTGTACGTTCCTGCTCTACGCCTACTGCTATGAATTCACCACAATCATTCTAAGAATGGAAGAAATAGAACTGTTTCCACCAGAAAAGTCTGATCTCAGCTGTTGAATGGAATACAGAGAAGAATTAAGGCCTAATATTCACTTTGCACGGAAATAATTCCGCAAACCAGACATCAAAGGATAAAAATTAAAAAATCGAAGATGCTTGTTACCTCAGTGTGTTCAACAACTTTGTCCTCGTTTTCCCAAGTAGTGTAAGAGACTCCCCTGAAAAAACATATTTCAGAGAGAAACAATTTGAAGTTCAAATTAGTGCTCTTTAGATTTTCAGGGAATTATTGAAACCCAAATGAAAAAACGTGAAAAGGAACTTTACGTACCTGAGTCGTGCTAAATCTCGATAACAATTCACATCACCGCAGTTGTAACTTGAGAGAAAAAAAACCCTCATGAATAACACTGAAATATTCTATGCTAACTATACTAAAAGTACTAGCTAGAGATTACCATAGCTCACTTACTGGAAAGAAAGGAAATCAAGAAAGCCTTTGAACATCCTTAGATGCGTCATATTACTTACAGCTCAAAGAGATTAGCCCAGTCTGGGAGAAAGAGGGCATGAGAAAGACCAGCACCGTGCATTCCAATAAATATATCTGTGTTATGGCTCCGCTAAATACATAAAAAATTTAGCATGAGTAAAAACGTTATAGCTATTATTTATATTAAAAATCGTAAAACAGTGAAAGTTGCTTTAGGTATTTGTTCAGGAAGGAAAAACTTCTCATGACAAAGATGCAGAAAACGAAATTAAATTTCTGTACAAAAAATGTGTTATTGAAACAAACAAACCAACCAAGAGGTCACCATTGATGTTCACGATTAAACATTCAACTTACTTTTAGTTGTTCAGCAAACGGCATATCCCTGAAAAGAAATGGATGAATAAAGGTGCTCATGTATTGATTATTAGGTAGAAAGAGTAGTTTCTTGGACAACGTTAAATTTCATAGATTGCATTACATTTATTGGACAACATCCTTCACTTTCAGTTTCAACTTCCAAAGATCATCGTTACCATCTGCATTAAACAAGGTATACTTTTCTAAATTTGGAGCTGGAAGTTAGAACTACAATTTGTAAGAAGATGAGGTATACTCTTGTTATGTAATTATCTACACTTGTCTGCTATTAATAAGTAGGAGCAGATTTTTACAGTGTAATTGAAGAATTTAGAAGCCATGAAATCATTAGAAATATAAAGCACAAAAAAATTCCACAATTGAGTAATACCAAGAATATTGTGAGACATTCAGCTTCACTCCAGGGTATGTATCCAAAGCATGAATAATCTGCCAAACAAAATTTAAAAAAATACTTGGGAACATTACATTCTTTCAGAGCCAACATTTCTTTTCTCTCTGGGTCAAGGTGCAAATGTTGTCTCATTAACTAATAACCCCCAAAATAACTTTTTGCTACATCCCTCTCCAATATGCAATTTGGACAACAAAAGGAAAAGAGAGAAAGATGTTTGTTTTTTCAGGCAGGCATACTAAAACAAAAAAAAAGAAAATTAACTGCTTTGAATAAAAATAAAATCTATCATCACATAATGACTGCCAATGAGTCCAACCACTATAAGTAAGTCAGTTTCTGAAAATGAAAAGGCAGAAATAGGGAAGGGATAGTTCTTTAAGCTCCTCTTCTAGAATGAGGAAGAAGGGAGGGGAGGGGGAGGGGTCAAAAATGCCGCTGAGTATATTTTATATTTAACATTTTTATAGCAGGACATACATAGATGTACATATAGCAACCCAAAATCCATAGGAATACTTTCCCTTGGGATAAAAACCTTATCACCCGTTTCCTCTGCACTCATCGTAATTGATGATACATGTACATGTAAGTTGTCAAAAACCTGATGTTTCCCCAACAAATACTCTCACTTCTCCTCCAACAAATTTAATTTCAATTTTTTTAAAATTAAGTTAATTGTAATAAAAGTCCAGAAATGCAACAGGAAAGGAAAACAAATTCAAGTCACCTCATTCTCATTTAAAATGTTTCTAAACTTTGTCCCTCTGGATAGCAACGTTACACGAATTGGTTCACTGCTGTTCTGAAAATAAAAAGACTTTATCCTATTACCTTGAAGTGTATTTTAATAGTGTTACATATTAGTTGGTCTGAGCAAGTCTTATCAGCCTGGTGCCTCATCACTGAGGAAGCTTCTAAAGCATGAAGCACTGACAGAAATGTATTACCAGTTGGCTATTGGTCCATCACAAGTAGCCATGACACTAGGTTGGTGACTACGCAGTTATACTCCTGGGTGGAAAGATGCACTGTGAGAGTGCCTGGCCTGAGATCGTTATATAAACGTGGATCATTCAGGGCTTGAGCATTGATCATGATGACATGATCAGTGGAGTTCAGCATGCAATTAATAATGGTAAATGAAAGATGAGGCATGTAAATGAAAAGTGTTAAATAACAAGATAATTTGGTTTCATTAACTGAGTTGACAGTATAAATTTGCCATTGTAAAGAGTCTCTAAGCTGACGTTTTGAGCATCTACCTATCATGGCATTTGCTCAAACAAACAGCTAATAATACTTGAAACATCAGCTTATAAAATCTTAAGTGGCCAGTTTACATTAACCAAATTATCTTGTTATACTCACCCAGTGATGTAGCACCACAGTTATTTTAAAAAAAATAACTCCTTCATCAAAGTGCAAAATATTCTGCACAAAACCAAACAAACTAACTAAGACATTACAAGTATGTTGCAAAATGCCTCTTATAGCACAGGCCACCCCAGCTTACATCTTGAGAAAAAAACTGCAATTAATTCATGAAAGCGTTATGCATTGTGTTAAGTTGCGAGAGGAACCATTGAGAATTTGAACAGATTATAAGGGGAAGTATGGGGAATGGAATATGGTAGATTTATAATGCTAAATATTTCGAAATATGAACATTTCACACATAAAACTTACAGACATCCTCTGTGTCTGTTGTAGTTTCCAACAATTTCTGCTGTTTTAGGCTTGCTTTACCATCACTGTTATTCCTGTCAAAGACGAAGTCAAGCTTGACTTCGTCTTTTGATAGGAATAACAATGATGGAATTTTCTGAACATGTTAAGCAAGATGAAGTCAAGCATGAATAACAATGATGGAATTTTCTGAACATGTCAAGCAAGACAAAGTCAAGCAGGAATAACAGTGATGGAATTTTCTGAACATGTCAACAAGACAAAGTCAAGCTTGGCTGTCTTTTGACAGGAATAACAATGATGGAAAAGCAAGCTTAATAAATGACAGAAATTGCTAGAAACCACAGCTGCATGACAATGCTGCCAATGCCAATACATGACACTTTCATGATTAATAGTTTGCTTTTTCTTGAGACTTGAGCTTAGGCCACCTGTGCTTATAGGTAGAAATATACAATCATAACAATACCGCAATGGAAAAAAACATTGGAAAACACAATCTTCACCTGAAAGTTCCTCTCTTGGATAATGCCCAGTCTTCCCATGACATGTTCAGAAAATGCTTTGAAAAGACCACTCTTGGAACAACCTGGAGTCTGGAAAAATTAAAGACGATCTCTGACTATTAAAACATTTTTGTAGATAAATGGTGAAAAAGGATTCTGTATTAAAATAAAATGTAGAGCCACTAGATCATTGGCTAACTAGTCTCTCAGCCCTATCTAAACAATGCAAATGTCAGCCCAACTCTTGTTTGGTTGAAAGGCTTAAGCTTGGCATTTAACAATGAAATAGACTATTGTAAGTTACAGTGTAACCTAAAATGATCACATATAGTATTAACAAACAGAAAAAGAAAGAAAACTAACCAGAGGTGTGTTGTAGTACAGTCCAAACACCATTCTTGGCAGAAGGGCAAAGATGGCTTCTTTAAAACACACCTACAAACACAAATTAAACTAATATTAAAAGATATGCGAGACAAGAATACTCCAGTAAACTTTCAATAGTTGTAGCACATTAAACAACAACAAATTTACCCTCTTGTTTTCATATTCCTTTCCAAGATAAAGAATAGGGTTTGATGAAAACACTTTCCATGTTACTCCAAAGTTCCCCAAACTTCTTCTTGCATGCTTGATAAAAAAATCAATTTCACAAA